CAGCGCATGGCCCCGGGTGTCGGCTGAGCCACTGCTGTCGTAAATCTTCACCGGAGCCTTTTCTTTCCACAGGGAGCAGGCTCCAGCCCCTCTCGGCACACACGCAGACACGTGCACTCCCTGCACAGAATTAATTGCAGCTCTGGGGCTGCCTCGCTCCACGGAGGAGCTGTTGTCGGCCGGATTCGCTCCCTCGCAGGCCTTCGGAGGAATATTTTCACTGGCTTTTGTCACTGACATCTCCTCTCGTATCCGTTTTAGATTCCCGTGCAGTAGCTGCGTGCACTCTCGGAAAAAATGATTGTTGCATGTTATTTGTTCTTAAAGGACTGGTAAGGGAAGGGCAACTGCTCCTCTGGGGGCATGACGAGGGGCAGCAGGCTCGTGTGGCACTGGAGAAGGCTGAAAACCAGCTCTGCGAAGGCATCCCACATGCTCACCCCTCACGAAGGCTTCGCTTGACCAAGCCAGATACCAAAATGTAGCGAATCAGTTCACTGAACTGGTTTTCCACGTTTGCAGAGTCCCTTTTCTTTATTCTCTTTAATCCTCGGAATTCTCACCAGCGTATTTATGATCTAAATACGGGGTTTCTTTGTAATCGCTGTCATGCTTCCTTGTGCAGCCCTGCAGGTGCGGTTCGTTCCTAGCGTGCCCCAAATGTTGCTGACATCTTGATTTTTTTTCCCCCCCTAGGTGTGGCCCATCAGTGTTATCACGGCTTTATCAAAGCAGTGCAAGAAGGAAATATTCAGTGGGAGAGTCGCACTTACCCCTACCCTGGCACCCCCATCACACAACGCTTCTCGCACAGTAAGTAGCTGCCGGGCAAAGCTCTGCTCGTCCGGATTTGCAACGGGGACCTGCAACCCCGGGGGTTTGTGCCACGTCACTCCCAGTCCAGCCTGGCACTGCGGCCGAGTTTCAGCCGCTCGGTGAAACGCTGGGCTCTGCCAGAGCAAGCACTTTGCAGGAGAGCGGGGATGCGGTAGCTGCTCGTTGTGGTTATTGGCTCCCCGGAGAGGGTGGTGGGGGGGGGGGGGGGGTTTTT